ATCATACTACTCATCTTCATCTTCAGTCCTCTTCCGAAATGTATCACCGCGCTCGTAATCTTCCTGGACATAATGTCTTCTCGCAAACGTGGCAACTGGATTCTCAATTCCGAATGCGTCTTCCTGTCGAGGAACGACTCAGTGATCTTGATCTTATTTTCATCTGAATCCTCGATTTTCTCCGTAGGAACATCCAGCTTCTTTACAAGGTTATTCGAATACTTATCCAACAATGATTTAAATTCGTTCTTTGCGCGATGTTCTCTTTTGCGTTCTTCGGGACTCTCTATGGACTCCTTTTCAAGATCGTAGGGTGCTTCTCCTTTTAAAGATATCATCTTTAGTCCTTCTGCACTTAATTCCGTCACATGGTCTTCAGGATTATTTTTCTTCAAATGTTCCTCGGTAAAAATCTTTAATCTGTCCGCAAATTTCTCGTTCAAGCGGGTTCCGAAAAGTTCACCGAAAGCATTATAAGCATCTTCCATGCTGAAGAATTGAGCGACATCACCGTCGGCAAAATCCGTCGCATTGGCCTTGAGCTTATCCAAAAACATGGTGATTATCTGATCATCATTTATGGACCGCTTAATATCCGCGTACTCGTCGCTGTTTTTCAAAAATTGAAAGTCCGTTTCTTGCACATTATCCAGGCTTCTCTCTCTTTTTTCCTTCTCCTTTTTAAGCTTTTCATTGTCCGGTCGTTGATCTAATACTTCCTCCATGATATCGCTAATAATTGTCAATATACTCGGCAAATTCTTGTTGTCCTTGATCTTCGTAGCTCTACCCTCGCGGGATCCGCTGAAACTGATGCCTACCTCGCCATTCCCGTAACCCTTGATCGTCAGAAAACCCAGATTTGTCTGAAATTCGTCCTCCATCGCTTTCTTGTACCAGTCAAGAAGAACATTTTCCATGGATTCTTTTCTCATTAGCAGTTCCTTTTCGAAATTATTCGTGGACATGCCGAAGAAACGTTCTACTTCGGTTTCTGTTGATCTTCCGAAAAAACCGAGACTAGGCACAAAAGATGGCAAGGCATTGACAATCATGGGCCAAACAAAAATACCTACGCATCTAATGAAACTCAAGCTAAGTACACACTGAGCTACCTGCGACATAAAACCCCGATTCGCGGTGTGCTCGTTAAAATCCTCCACCATTTTTAAGATCTCATATTGATCGGCGGTCAGAGAATTCTTGATTGTAGAATTTAATGTATCGACGAAATATTCCTTTGGACTTTCCGCGGGTTTGTTTTTTAAAGCTTTCTTGAAATTCGAAATATTAACTAAGAGTTGAAGAAATTCAGATTCAGTGATATTCGGAAACGTGTTATTTATCGTCATTTCCGAGATAGGTTCAATCTCTTCATTGATCTCGTAATAAGAATTTAATAATTCATCGGCATTTCTTCGTCTTCTTTCGTGTTTCTTGAACGATGAATCCACAGGAACAGATTTCGACAATGAATCTTGTTGTTGTCTAATGTCAGATAACTGGATTTTTTCTTTAGAAATATCTATCAAAATGTTCGACGGTTGTCCAAGATATCCAGGAACGATTCCTTGTTCGCCTGAAAAATAAAAGAAAATCAAAGATTAATAAAAATTGAATACCAAAGAAAAAAGTCAGTCTGTCTTTAACGAATAAAACTGATTCACCTACTGACGGGGTGTTCGCAGCCTTCGATATTCCACTTATCTGGTTTGCCTTCTCATTATCTGCTACTGTCAACTGAAGAATCGTCTGTCCCTGCGGCTTCGCTTTCTGTGGCGTATCCGACAAGATTGCAAACTGTGGGTAACTTATACCGCCAAAGTTAGAAAATCCTGGAAACTGAGGAATG